ACCTTTCTCTCTTTTAACCAGTAATTCAACGCCATGTACACACAATTCAACAAACACTGCCGACACCTTCTGCATCCCAGGCTCTGGAACAGCCTGCAGGAGACAGACGGTGTTCCTGCTTTAGGGAGCCTGCAGCTTATACCATAAGGACACAGCTCTTATGTTTCCCCTTTCTAACCAATCAACCTGAGTCAACAGGTTAGAAAGGGGAAATGAAAGGTGCTGAGTTCACCTGGAGCACCAGGAAGAAATGACCCCAGCTCAGGTCCCAAGGGTTTCCTTCCCAGGGCCTGGAACTTTGCAAGGCTCTGATCCTATAGCATTTGCACCTCAAGGGCCTTTGGGGACTTTGCAGACACAGTCACCTTCTTGGTCCCCAGAGACATTCAGCAAGAGGCTCTCATAATGCCTAGCCTGCCCAGACTGCATGTAGGATCCTACGGCACTACAACCTTTCTGACATATTCCTGGCTACCACCAGGGCCAGCCTTGTGATCTGGGACTCTCCCTGCCATGTTACTTGAGATGCTTTCTTCCTGCCAGCATCGTCCCAGGCGTCCTGGACTTCAGTAGCCAAGAACAGACTTCAAAAGGCTAAGTGGAAGGTAACCATCTTCAAAGAGCCCTCAGGCTTCCCAGAAATCTTTGGTGTCTGGCCCTGCCTCAGGTCAGTTTCCTGCAAATGAACTTGTGACAACTCTGCAAAGGCAAGGGACTGTATCTGTCTGGTTCACTGCTGTCACTGACAACCTCGAGGACAGGATTGAAACACAGCTGGTGCTCAATACTGATGTGCTGAACAAATATACAGTGGCCTCTGTCAAGAACAAAAGCACAGTGGAAAGATCCTGGGCTTCAGAATCAGACACACTTGGATTTGGGATCTTCTTGTGATACCATTTATACTGGCCAAGTTCAAGTATACCATCCCTTCTCAGCCTCCTCATCTGTGAGCAGCAATCACAACCCCAACCTTAGAGCATCGTTAGCAGCATTAGTTGGAAACAACATGTAAAGCTTTCAGCACAACACAAAGTAGAGAATGAGTCTTTGTTTTTTGGTTCATAAACATTCATGTAGGTCTCACTGGATACTACATGCCATTCAAACATAGAAGAAGGCATCACAAATCTCAGTTAATTCATTTAATACTCGTAACAATACAATGAGAGGAACTAAGCTCCTTTGCTGCTGAGGAAACTGAGACACAGAAAGGTGAAGCAACTTGCCCAAAGCCTGAAATCTAGACGTGCAGGATTAGGATTTGTAATAATTACAAACCTTGTTAAGTCCTATGGAAAACAACCCATGCAAGCTGGTTTGTGTCTTAACCTTCGTTTGATTACAGGGGAGAGTCAACCACGTCGCAAGACCGGTGTTTCAGTTACAAAAGATGCAGATCCAGGTATTCCCATGGCTCCCTGCTTTGTTATAAACTAAGCCTACTCCCATGAAATCTAATTTCGGAGAAGTTTGTTGACTAAGAACTTCCCTCTCATCCTGTCCTCCTGCTACCTCCTTCCCCCCACCCCACCAACTCTCCATCTACCAGGGGAAGGAAGGGGGGAAAAAAAAAAAAAACAGCACACAGCAATGCAAAAATAAGATAAGAAATGAAAAAAGAAGACAGATGAGAAAGGGAATGTCTGAAAGAGCAAACAACATGTCCCCTTAAGAACAAAGTCAAAGGAGGTCTCAACACCACCCTACCCCACCACAGTAATCTGTAAGGACAACTGCTGCTACATGTTTGGGAGCCCAAGGCCAAAGCAATCTATCCACATAGAGATCAACTACATTAAGTCCCCGCTCCCCTGAAGACCAAGGTAACAGAAAGAATTAAACCATCTCCTCCAACGGACAAAACCTCATCATAAAGACAGCTTTCCATTCCTTCCCTTTGAGATTGCATTTGCTCTACTGCCAACCACGAAGGAAATTTCATTACAAAATAAATCACTCGACCTTGCTTCTCCAATGGCTCAGGATAAGTGACATCACAAAGCACTCTACAAATGCTCAGAAACATCAGAATAACCCCTCACAGAAAAAACACTTGGTGTTTCACTTAAAAGACATTAAATTATTTTGATTTTTACTGCATGGAATTCCAAACGCTTCCAATATTTTCATTTTCAAAGCCCTTAGAGGAAAAGTATGCTCCTAATACCTTAAGAACTGCTCGCTGCTTTCTGGTCTGGTTTGTGTCCTCAGTCATGTATACATGATGGAGAGCAGGCCAGAAGCCAAGGAACGGTAGCTCTGGCCCCACACTGCCCTCGTGACTATTCTCAAGTAGCTGAGGCCTCGCTGTGCAGGCTCCTCAATCAACTTCCTCTCATCCTCAGACTCCCAGGAAAATCAAAGGCAGCTTTCAGACACGGAAGGCAGTTCCTCTGAAGGAATCCACCTTCCATAATCCAACCAGCCACCACGTTTTCTTGCCATGTAGCAGAAGCTCCCTTGAGCTGATCAAAGGTAAGGAATCTGGTGGGGAAGTTTTCTCCCTGGGGAGTCTGGGGTGGCTGCGCAGACATCTCATGCACCCAGTCAGAACTACACCCTGACGGCTGTATACTATCCCTGGAGAAAGTCCCACACAAGCTGGAATTCCTAACATGGCTTGCTCAAAAAGACTATCTGGGTCTTATTTTAAATCAGATTGACCATCAACAGAGTCAGTAAATAAACATGTTGACTTGAAAGTGAATCCATACCTCAAAAAGGTATGCATTCAGAAAACACTCAGAATCTAAATATCCAGGTGCTACAGACATGTTCCCTCCACCAGCACCACGTTTCCCAATAACTGATCGCTTTGCTGAGTTACAAATTCCCAAATCACCACACCTTAAAAAGCAAAAGTCTAGGGGCTGGAGATTTAGCTCAGCGGCATAAACGCCTGCCTTGCAAGCAGGCAGTCATGAGTTTGATCCCCGGTACCGATAAAAAGGAAAAAGACCCAAAAACAAAGCAAAAGTCTAACAGAACACAGACGTCACCTACTTTACCATCATTTTTTTTAAACAAAGAGTGGGAGGAACCAAAGCCAAGGATAAAACTATTCAAATTCGATGACAAAGTAACTCAAATCCAGTTTCTCACCGTTCATCTTCCTAGTCTGCTGTCTCTGAGACACAATTACCCATGGGGACTCCTACACAATTATTTTCACAAAAAAAAGTATTTCTAAAATTGAGTTCAACAGAACTGGTCAAATCTACCATGGCTGCTACTGAAAACGTAGAATCTCAATGGAGAACGAAATAAAACTGGAGTTAACAAAAATTAGCTTTTGTTCTAAATTGTATTCTTAGCCTCAAAACCCACTCCAGAGGGGGAAAATGCCTTTCCTGGGACAAAGTGAAATGCAGTGTTATTCCCAGCTAGGCTTCTCCAACTGTGTGCCATTATTTTACATTAGAACAATTACTGGGTAAGTAAGAAGTAGCTGTATAAGGTAGTATCCTAAAGCCACCATTCACTACACCTGACAGTCACTTTCACTGGGGCTCAAAGGTCAAAGCACTTTTCTTGCCTTACAGAGAGGGAAGCTGCATCTTCAGGTGTGAGGACAGGCCTGTGTGAGCAAAAGTGCCAGGCTAAAGAAGCAGAGCCAGGACCAAAACAAAGATACCCAAGGCCCTAAAACTTTCTCCCCACAGCAGGGAAGGTGTTTCATACTGACTCCATTTCACTAGATATAAAGCGTCACTGGCTACAAAATGTGTGATGAGAGCCTAAAACAAATGCTGAAGGTTTGGGTCCTCCAACTCTGCTGTGTATGGTAGGCTGCGAGACGCCAGTGCTGCAGAAAGCAAAACCTTCCTTGTTTCCATTACATCATCCAAGATGGGGGGAGGGTTGGGGCGGGGGCACAGCTGGTGGCAGCTGCACTACCATCTGCTTTCCCCTCTGCAGTGTACTACTTTGAGCTGTAGCCTCCTACGGCTCCTGAGAGAGGAAGCCCAAGATTACAGGCACAACACCCTATTATAGAAAAGAGTTCAAATTATTCAGGAATAAATCACTCTTGTGATAAGTTAACAACCTCAGGTAAGTTGCAGAGCCGGTTCTCCTTGAGTTGAGGTTATTTGTTTACATCTCTTTAGACCCAGCCACAGTGTAAACTCTGTCAACTCCATGTGCCCAATTAGACAAGCAGAATGTACAAGAATAACCACCTGCCATCTGCTTCCCAAAAGGTATACAGCCAGAACATGCAGGTCTGCAGCTGGGCACATTTACCGAAAGGAGTAGGGACTGGGGGGTGTTGCACAAACCCAGCAGACAAGCCTTTGGTGACTAGATGGGTACTTGGTGCTGCCCCTGGCACCCTAAACTGACTGGTTAATTGGTCTTGCCCTCTGCACTCAGAACAGACTGTGCCTCTGCAGAGGGGAAAAGTGCTAAGGGGAGCCGGGCTGGGTAATGCCTCTCTAGCAGCAAAGCTGAGTAAGAGGAGGTTCAGAACTGATTAAGTTCATGAGTATGGTTTATCTGGCCTGTAAGGAGTTGTTTTAAAAAAATAAGTGCTGGCTTTTTAAAAAGAGTAGCTCTTATACGTACATCTAGGTTAGATTATGGGCTCTTCTGGGGGCTGGGGGGAGAAAAATAAGAGATTTCTCAGCAGGAGGGCCCCTGTCCCCCACCGCAGTTACCATGCTCCCTTTAGACTGATCCTCCGTACTGAAGAACTTGTCTACACCTGTGGTTTCTGCATATTCCACTGCAACTACCTGTGTTGCTACCTGGACCTCAAGCACTTCTGATGTAACAACTGCACAGGCACAGAAAAAAATGTCCAGCAAATAAGTCCTCAGTGGTCCCTCATTGATACTTCTCTTTAGCCAAGCCTTGGTTTTGCAGATGAGCAACTATAATTCTGCAAGGATCATTGAATCCAATCCAATGAAAAGATTCATGAGAAGGCCAGCTGAATCTCTCCCCTGCCATGCAGTGGGTTGTGGTATTTCAAAGCAGCGTTCCAAGCCACTTACCGTACATTTTGCCTTCGTCTGATAAGATGATTTTCCTCCTCCCACATGGCGGATAGATAGCCAGAGCCTCCTGAAAGCTCTGCTCAATGTCGGGGCTCCAGACTCCTTCTGCGTCATTGTCAATCGGCTTATCTGCAGAGTCACTCATCCTTTCCATGTTTTCGGCAGGGCTCTCGCTGCCGCTCCAGCTGCTGGGCTCAATTTTGGCGGTTGGATTTTCCAAGCCGAAGCCTGGAGCCTTTTCAAGAAAATAAGCCTAAAAGAGAAATCACAAAACAGTATGATCACTAAATAGTATAGGCCATGCTAACCACAAACACACAGTTATTGCTAATTCTGCAGCATGTTCTTCAGCCACTCGCCTTGCTTAGAGAATAACTCCTAGTGAAGAATATAGAATTCTGAGATCCAACTGGCCTTCTTCTTATGTAGCATATTAAGGACTCATACAGAAATACAGCAGCAGGCAGAGCTGGATAATCATCACAGATGACAGGAAATGTTCACCTAAGAAGACCACTCATTCCCCGGCCTTGCACATTTGGAGAGGTTTAGAGGAAAATCATTGATTAAACGTTTACTATCTACCAGGGCACTCGGTTCAATGACAGTCAAAGTTCTACAGCAGAACAAGTTGCTTAGAAGAGTATCAAGTAAATAGAAGATGTCAGCTTCATCATAGCAACTGGGATCTTCACTGAAATGTCAAAACATTTCAATATGAGATCAACAACACGCAAAATAGTGGCAGGACCCTACTGAGTCGGCCATACCACCTGAGCTGGACATTTGCTGGCATCCTCCGGACTTAGCATGCCACGCTTCTCCTAAAATACAACCCTGAGGCAAGAGCCAAGCTGGCCCCAGCCCCACTTTTCTACAACACCTACCATGAGGGCCTGGCGCACCAGGGAAAACAGGCTCTACCTACGTGACGCGCTTCGCTTCACTGCGTGGCCTACTCTGATCTCCTGACCACATGAAAACAGCAGCAGCAGCTTGGGGCAACGGTCCTTTACTTTTCTGAGGCACTGCGAATTACACAACCCAAAGAAATCTTTCTCAAAAATGTATTCCCCTTCCATTATGCATGTAACCTATGGTCAGGAATGGATAAAGCTTTCTAAACGAATGTCACATTGGCATAACACCAGTGTGAAAATGATCTAATCCGGCACTTCCTGCTGTCCTGAACACTAACATATCAATATTCCTTTGCTGGGAAGCCATTAGGTCATTAATTCAAAGCCCTCCCAAAAAGAGGGGAAAGAATTGTTCCGAACTGTTCCTACTGACTGACAGAAAAAGGGAGTCAGAAGCCTAATAGGGAGGGCTTGGTGTGGCCACTGTTCCTCCCCTTTTCCACCCCTCCTTGAGTCTGCACCATATTACAAGAGACACCCAGGAAGGAAGCAGGTGCCGGTGGACCACAGCAAGCAGCCCACCTCTGTTTCCTCTGTGTCCTAGCTGAATCTGATTCCCCGGCCCTCCCCACTATGGATCTCAAAGCACCCAGGTGGAGACACTCAAGAGGAATATTACACAATTAATGACCTAGCTAATGGGTACTTCTGGCTTCTCTTTCCAACAAATTCTCTTTTTTGATTTGGTAGCACTAGTTTTAAAACAACAACCAAAAAAAACCCTTCAGGTTGTCTGCCTTTAAATGCTGCCACCGAACTACCCTTCAGAGAACCTGTCGGCAAAATATTCACTGCTCTTTACCAACACAAGTACATTTACAAGGGACTTCAAAGATTACCAAATGCTAAGGTCTAAATTATGCCACAAGAAAGTATTTTGTGAATGACCCCCAGATGAACTCTGCAATGCCTGGAGTGTGGGCCTTTTGAATTCTCAAACTATTACATTTTGTGTTGGGATCTAAGAGTCTTCTAAAGTTCAAACTGAACTACTCACTACCCAAGAGTTTGTTTGATTGCCACAGCAGCTTATTGGAGAAATTATGAGAATGAAAGGAACTCTTTGGTAGAGGTTAGCCCACCCTCTTCCCAAACAAAACGAAAAAATAAAAGCAAAACAACATACACACACACACAGAACCCCAGTCCAGGTCTTGAACTCCTGGCATTCAGGACAGAATCATTTCACTCCAGGGAACCGAATTTTAAAATAAACACTGAGGGGCTGGGGATTTAGCTCAGCGGCATAAGCACCTGCCTTGTAAGCAGGCAGTCGTGAGTTCGATCCCCGGTACCGATAAAAAAAGAAAACGACAAAAAAAAAAAAAAAAAAAAAAGAAAAAAATAAAATAAAATAAACACTGAATGGGGTATGGTAGTGCACACCTATAATCCCAACACTCAGGCGGCTGAGGCAAGATGTTACTGTTAGGTCTGAGAGAAGGGGGAGGAGAGGAGAAGTCCGTGGGAGGTATGGAGCAGACGGCCGTGAAAGTAGTGGTCAGCGGTGGCTTTATTCCGGGAATGCGGGGAGGGGGCCCCCCGCCTCCGGCCCCGGGCGCAGCATCTCTGCACCCGGGGCGGGTGGTCTCTCTCTCTCTCTCTCTGGCGAACTCCCTCTGGCGAACTCCCCCGGACACGTGGCGTGGGGGAATCTAAATAGCCTAAGCTTAGGGCAGCACCCTAATGCCATTAGAGATGCACAGGTATCTCATTGGCGCACAGGTCCTTAAGGATGGGGATATAGGGTTACAATCAAGTGCAAAGGGGGCAGGGGGGGGAGGAGTTTAGCTGCAGCCTTTTCTGGTTACAGTGTTTCATCTGGGCCAGCAACTCTTTCAGTTACCACAAGTGAACCTGGGCCAACCTGGGCTACACAGTGAATTCAAGGCCAGGCTAGACTACACAACAAGACCCCATCTCAAAAAAAAAATAGGAGCAGTAGTAGTAGTAGTAAATGTCCCCAGGGCTCTGCTACTATATAGCAGAAGGATGGAATCCAAGGCAAAGAGAAGTGGCTGGGGGGCTGGAGCTCTGTTTGCCTAGAGAAAATACCACACAACTGAAAGCCACAGAGTAACCAGACCCGCGGATACCAACAACCCCCCTATCCAATGCCCCAAGTCCCCCCTAAAACTCAGCAGCCAGTCCCCATGATTGCTGGAACAAAACCAGTGACAGAACCCACTATTTCCTCAAGACTCCACCTCCACACTGGCATGTTGAAATTCTCCCGTCCATCAAGCTTTCAAAAGTCATTTCAGGACTAACTTCTACTCCCCTTACCCTTGAAGGTGTATTCATCCCTTAAAGGAGCACATGTCTCCCAAAACACTTAGGAATGCGGGGGACAAAGTGCAGGTCCTGGTTATCTTTCAGAGTGGACACCATGGTCCCTCTGCCCACTGAATATATTTCAGTTTGTCCACAAGTATCAGTCAATGGTACCCACAGCTGAACCCGGGATCCTGAAGGCCTCCAAACTCCCACCTCTATGGGGCTGTTCCTGAATCCTGATTCTTATGCAATTGGTTTCAGAGCTAAACCCAGGAGTTTACATTTATTCCTATTAAATGTTATGTTTTTTTTACACTAACCAGGGCCACAGCTAGTAGGATCCTTCTAAACCCTTTCTGCAAAGACCTTTGTCCTCAAATACTGAACAGCCCCTGAAGAGCTGTCACCTAGGGCAAGGCAAGCCCATCTGTGGATGCTCCTAAGAAGATTCTGACTCAACGTGAGGAAAGCTGTTCTGACAGCTGAACTGTTGGGCGAAGGCAGACCACTGCGGAACCCTCACGTGGAGTCTTATGGACACCGCTCTGGTTACTTCCAAGGCCTGGAGTCACCATCCTTGGTTGTTAGGGGAACATGAGATTACAAGCATTGAATGCTCCATATGTATTCAGGAAACAAAGACACTGTTCTACACACTCCCAAGTTCTGATTCGCTTACTGCAAAGGAAAGAACTCCATCCAGGCTCTTGTGATTTGGTCAACTGGCTCAGCAGGATGGAATTACCTACTCTGGACACAGCCCAGAAACCACCAGATACATCATCTGCAGGGTTATTCAGGCCCATGGTTTTACAACCCAATTGTAAGATGAGCCCTGTATGGGCAGAAAGTTTCCGATCACAAGACTAGCATTGGCTGAAAAAACGCTCCCCATCCTGGATACTGAAATAACCATTCTGGCATTCTGTGCCTCAGCTCCAACTCCGTCTCATCCTGCAAACTGTTCTTGGATCCAGTGGCTCTGAGGGCACCAGACACACTTTAAGAGTATCCTAAAAATGTGTAGAGCTAGTTAATTAGCACTCAAATCCACCTGGAATTTTGAATGTACAGCAATAAGCACCCACTTAATACCAAGATAAGTATCTAATCAAGTGGCTCATATACAGAATGTCTGTACTACAGGGTCAGGATCTCCAGTTTGCATATATTTTCTGAGTAACACAGTCCACTTCCCTTCATTTCAGGCTAGAGGAATCTTGGGAGGGTGGTATTAAGATGCAAATTGAGCTGGGTTCCAGAGTTCGCAACCCAAACTGTATTAGTTAATCACTCAGAAGTGCAAGTTCTCACTTGTAAAATGGAGACAAAAAATTAAGTTTAAAATACAAAAAAATCATTAAGGGGTGGAAAGACCTACCCCTTAGGGCTACCACAAAGTTCCAGTGAGATGGTAAAGGTACTCTACCATCCCTAAAGCAATGAACAGGCACTTAATTCAAGCCCATCTTCCCTAGAGGGTGATCTGTGCTTCGTGATGTCAAAGTACCTGCTAAAAATAAGATGGTGAACAAAGACTTGCACTTTCCCTAAGGGTTCACTTTGGGAAACCAATCTACAAAGGATCTTCTTAAAGTCTTTAAGATTATCTTGTGGGAAATTTAAATTGATGACAAACACCTTTATTACTAGTACCCTTCAAAACCAAATTTTTTCATCGGTTCAATAGTTTTCACATGCTTAAGGGCAGGGTAGTTCAGTGGAGCAAACGTTCCACAGAATACCTCCAAGGAAAGAAAGCACACAGGAAGTCCTGCTTATTGATAACAGACCTCAAAATACACGGGTATCATGCAGCCCCAAGTGCCTCAGTTTCCACCAGAAACACTTTTCTTCTGGAAGCTGCTCTTTTCCTAAAGTTCTTCCCAGCCACACTACAATAAACTCCAAAAGCAGCTGTTACCAGTAATCCGAGTACCCTGCTCGCTGCCCCAGCAGACACACTCTGTAAATGGATAATCCTTTCACAATTCCCACTGACAATTCGGGAACAGTCACAAGAGTCCAGGAGCATGACATCATATGTGCTTTGGGC